ATATTTTGTGATCCTTTCCACTGTAGAGAATTTAACATTGGTGAAGTTGTCATCAATTGACAGTTCATCTCTTTGAAATGCAGCATGGCTTACCTGTTCCAGCAATCTCCATGAAGGGCAAAGCTAAAACTTGCAGTTTTAATGACAAGTTGCTAAGATAGCATCTACCTGCTGCCTTTATTGCTCAAGCCTATATTGTCCATAGTTAAATATTTGATCAYCTAAGATAGAGGTGGGTTGAGGGAGGTGTTATATGAAGTAGTAGTAGCAGAAGTGTACTAATAATATACTGACTGAGTTCAAATGGAGCTAAAAGGAACCAGTTCAGCTAGGAAAGTACTCAGATTTTGATCACCATCACTTGAATTCCAGCAGTTTATGGTTTGGATCAGATTTCACTGGCTTTAATTATCCTTCTTCAATTGATTAATTTTAACCAGCATTTAGCAAGAGCTAACCCACCCTTGACTSCTGTGTTTTCCTTTTTATAAAAGAAAGAAATACAAAACTTTCAATGTGAGTAGAAAACTTCAATGTAAAAAAAAATACTGTTCAAGTATGTCCCCAGAATGCAGTTAAAAATCCTGCTAAAGGAGTCAGTTATTAAATGAAATATAATGTTTGATATTTCAACATCAAGATGTGGATGAGGCATAAAGTAGTATASGTAAAGGAATATATATCATCATACATTTACCTTCTTGTCTAGAAGGGCAGAATGTGAGCCACTTGCACACCGCTTGCCCATACATTCTGAGTATGGTAAAGCCTGTTCATCCTTTTGAATTTAAACCCTCAAAACTTGACAGAGTAATGAGTCGAAGGGTATATTCCGAGTGCATAGGATAGAGTTTGCACTTCTATTACAAAATCAGTTGTAAATCTGCGAAGAGATGCCAGAGAACTAAAAAAAAAAAGAAAAAAAAAATATTTAAAATGTAAAGATATGTTTTCATTCTATAAATGTTTTTAAGTATTTTATTACACATGATTGGAACTAGAGATTTGCATTTCATACTCAAGATATGTCATTTTTTTTCCTGCAAGTAAATATTCTTCAGCAAGGTACAGCCTGTGGGTCCAGACGTGCAAACTGTTCCCTGTGAGCACTTTCCCACTTGCGAAGCATCTTTCTGAGATCAGTGAACATGAACACAAAGATCAGCCTGAACTGATGTTGCCCAAGGTAAAGCTCTTTGTTCATAGAGCAGAAAAGGCACGGTGTGAGAAAACCTATGATGATGTCTCTTCTAGCGAAGGCATGTCTCAAATTGTTCTCCAAAATGTTTCACATTAGCGATGTATTTTAACATTAAAATACATAGCAGTTTATTTAGCAATACCCATTAGCAATGTGGGTATTTTAACACTGCTGTCCCAAGTACGGTTACCCAGTTCAACTCAGGCCTTCTAARGACCATATCAGCAACCTCCCTCATAATGATTGTAGGGGACCATGAACTTCGGAGTTCTCATCTCCAGCTAATGTTGTCAGATAGGACAAGTAATCTTTTTTCCCAAAGCCTGGGAGGGTGGGAAGCTGCTGTGGGCAGGAGCTCTGTACCAGCAGCTGGTGCAGGAGGAGCAGTTCTCACGCACTCCCTGCCTCCCTTGTACAAATGTCATCAGCTGGTGGTAGCAGCAGCAGCAGCAGGATCACAGGAACGTATCTCACATGATTCACTAGGTCCCAAATTTATAAAAATAGGAAAAAGACCAGATACAGTTTCCAACAAGGAGTAATCTCCAGGGTGTAATGCCCTGGAAGGCAGGCTGCCTTYTCTTTGGGAATTTTCCATTTATCCTCATCGTGACATCTTTGCATTGCAGACACCAAGCAGTTGTGAGCATTCCCATGGCAGAGCAAGTCCATGGTTTGCCATGTGCACTGGCTCTTTGCTGCAGGCTCACTGTRCTTTCATTTTCTCTGTTTATCATTGCCAGGCATGGAAAGTAGAAACTGCTCTTTAGTGAATTTATTTCCTGTCATATTAAAATAAAGAAGTAGCTGTTGATAGCTCTTGCCTCACTCTAGCCAATATTGATTTCCATTAAAAATCCACAAGCCTCTCACTTCTTCATGTGCTGCTCAACTAACTTCCAGATTACTATTCCTAAAAAATGAGACCTTATAGCTGTAAAACATTCTTTTGCCTTTTAAAACAGTTCGTCACCACCATAGTTGAAAGAGTAACACTAGGATTGTGTTGGTAGCTCAGTTTTCATTTCACTTAGGCAGCAGYAGGCGTTAGCGTCGATAGTGAAGGTACTACGCTGATCTCCAGCTTGAAGAGTGTTCAGATTGCAACCTCAAGGTTGTCTTGTGTATTTGCTATTTTGTGCAAAAAAGCAATATTCTTCAGATTTTCATTTAGACTCTTGTTCTGCAAATATCAATGCATTTGCTTTGCACTAATAAGAGTAACATCGTTGAAAAAATTGGATGAAGCACATGTTTGTGTTGGAGGTAGGCACAGAGCTTTAAGAACAGAACTCTGTAAAGATTTGTGGCCCAGATAGCATCCAGACCTTCATCTAGTATTATTAATCTGTTCCAACAGTTGTTTTACATCATTGGTATCAATGGGATTAAACAATTAAAAAACAACAACAACAAAAAAAAACAGTAACAGTATATTTTTATCGGGGCARGACAGAAAGGTATAAATCAGTAGTCATTACTGAATGGAGCAGTTAGTTAAATTAGAAGGTTGCAGATTGCTTATGCAGATGAACAGCAATTACTATTTTGTTTTCAGCAGCTGAGAATAACTGCTATAGTTATTATTTACGAAAGTCTGTTTTCAGCCATGACATTCTTTAACATTATTAGTACAAACTGATAATTCAGTGAGAGACAATACTACTTTGTACTTTGAGAATTTCATTCTGTTTTTTGGACTGATGTGTAAGAATGTTGGTAGTAGAGGTCACGTTGATGCCAGTTTTGGCAAGCTTTCCTTAGCAGGTTGGTATGCAATGTTCACTCTTGGACTCTACTGGTAATTTTAGTTCAACATTTCTGTTTAGTTTATATCTTAAAAGCAAAATTTAGCTTGATTTTTTTAATTGTCGGAGTGCAGGGAGATATTTTATTGAAGATACTTGAAGTTCAAATTGCTCATTACAAAGGAGACCTGGGTGTATAAGCTCTGAAAGAATTCTTTAGCTGAATTAGTTTACAAAAAAGGCAGTTCTGAATATTCCTGTCAATACTTACTCTTGGTAGTTCCTCCCATAAAGCCTTAGTCTCGAGACCACAAAGCAAGCAGATTTAATTTGAAAGCTTGTAATGACATGAGCGAGTTTTCTTATCTGGGCCTGACATTTGATGAAGTGATCAGAAGCCAGCTAGTAAATGCAGTGTAAGTATCTCTCGGCTGCAACATAATAACTGGTTCTGTGCACTCCGGTAGTCTCCCTGGTACAAATAATACTGCTTCACGTAAACCACATTCTGTAATTAAGTACTTTTCAGCATCATTAGGTGACAGTTTATAAAAACCTGCTCCACTTGCTAGAGCAATGAATTTTTGAATCTGCGTAAAATGATGATTTGCATTCAAAGGAAGTAGTAACTTCCTAAAACCCTTAGCCTGACCCCGTGCTGCAAGTATTTTTGTTTCAAATGGTGGGGGGGCAAGGTTTCCCCTTCCCCTTTGCCTGTGGTTAGGGGAACCCTATCGCAGGAACCAGTTTCTTTCCCCTAATTGTTGTGTAATGAGAAAGAAAATGAAGTCCTGAACTGTAGAGGTTCTAACTGAAAGAAAGCTCTCCTGGTTTTCTTATGTGAACCAAAGGGGAAAAAAGTTGTTCTGATCCACTAGAACAGTATTTCATGTTGTATGTTATTACCATGAAATACAGCAACAATGCTGTATGTGCATAACTGTGTGTACCTGTATGTGCATACCTGTAAGGGTTTCAGGGGAAACCTTTCATCACACAAGAAATAAATATTTCCRACTGTTTCTCTTGCATTCCTAATAAGTAATATGCATCTCTCCAGGGCTAAAGCAAACTTGAGAAATCTTTTTTCCCTTTCTATGCTGGACTATTTTGGATGCCATTCCACTTCTGAAATAATTCATGCTGTAAGCAAAGCTTTGCAGCAGCTGCCACAGATGACTGTGTTGATGGCAGTGGTGTAAGGAGGTCCTTCTGGCCCTGACAGAGTGCAGGGGTGCAGGCTGTGGACGAGGCATTCCCCCGTGAGGAGCTGGGTGCTGCTTACACCAACTGCGCTGRATTCAGGGTTTTATAGCTGGCCGTATCCTGTCACAGCAGGATTTTTAAATCACCCATCAAGTTTATTTTGGCTGCAAGTTTTAATTGTCCTGTTGAGATTCTCATTTTGTATTTTCTGGCTTTTGTCATACCATTCCAGTATTTCTTCTGAAGAAATCCATGTTGAAGGGAAATAATTTGGCCTTTAGATTGCAGTCAAGGAAAAATTTAGAATATCTAAAATACTTCTGAAACCTGGGCACAATGAACTTTGTTCTGTCAGAACTTACAATTTAAATGATCTCTAAGTGCTGTAACATTTCCCAGTTATGCAACTGTGGAAGGTCAATGGATAGYTTTATATATAACACTTTATACTCCCAGTTAATGTTTTACATTCCACTAACGGAATTCCTTGTAGTGAACTTAATTTAATGTTTGAGAAATATTACAGAGAATAAGTTTTCCTTTTGTCTTTGAGTTTTCATTCTAAGTGTATCTGTCTTAAAAAATTTGAATGTGGCGCYGTATTTGTTAAAACAAACTTGTAATTACTTTAATAAATAAATTTGGCACAGAATCCATTGACAGATTCTACAAAGCGCTTTAGAGCTGTGAAATAGAGGACATCTATACAAGATGCCCCGTGAGCATCATTCTTACTGTTTYGGGTCTGTTTAGTGTTTGTTCTGTTCCCTGCATGACTCAGTAACATGGTAAGGTCACTTATATTCATTGATTTGTGGTGTGGATTTCTTCTTTCGTGTTGACAGCTGGCGCAAGTGGACTCGAGGGCTGTGCATCTTGGCGCTGTTTTGATTCGTGGCCTTACAACTTTACTCTTCGCCAATAGTGCCTGCGGCTTTCCCTTCAGAATGGAGGATTTGATGCCATGGAAAATGTTTGATGGGAAACTTTTTCAAGAAAAGTATCAGCAGTCACACCGAGGGTGCTCTTTGGAAGAGCTTTTGGAAGGCAATGTGAGTAATCATATCCCCCTAACTACTTTTGTATTCTTGGAAAGAAATACCTGTCTGTTACAGACTTTATTTCATTTTCTTCTCTTTCTTATTCCTATTTCATTTTTCCTAGCCCCCTCTGAAAAATAAATAACAAAAAAAAAACCAACAAAAAAGTTGAGACTATGATGTTATTTTTTTACCTTTATTTTGATTTGCACTACTTTGAAAATAATAGTAAAAGGAAATATTAAACAGTCCATTACAAAAAATACAGTGAATATAACAGTTTTCTGATATGAAGATACTGAATAAATAAGATAATGAAATTCTCTTCCACAAAATTTTTGGCAAAATCTTAAGAATTTCTTTAAGCAAACATCCTGAGTGAAAATTTTAAAGTGCTTGAGTGTGTGTTTAAGTGTATTAAGGAACCTAAAGTTTGAGATAAATGAATTCCAAGAGGAACTGGAAATCAGAGTGAAGCATGTATACATACATATATATATACATATATATATAGGTATATTTTAAAATCTCATAGAGCATCTCTCCATGTGTTTTAGTATTTACTCGGCTGCAATTTTCCAGAAGTTGGCAATTTGCACAGTCGGTATCCTATATTACTTAAATCAGTGTGATTAAAGCCCGCGTGTGCAGGCAAGGGCAGACAGATACTGTCGGGGTCTTTCTAGGCCAGAGCCAGGTCTGGCCCGGACACGAGGTAGCTGCATGAGGACAGCGTCACATCCAAGCTCAGAGGCAGGATGCAAAGTCGGGATTAACACATGTGGGAAGCCTCCTGAGCAGGCTTGTGCCTCACCAGCACAGGACATGCTGAAAGGAGTGTGGGTAGTGCCGTGCTCAGCCGTGTAGAAAGCGCGTGAGGCCTTGGATTCGTGAGTCTCCTGAAGGCAGCACTCTGCACCGCTTAATTATTGAAGAATTTACCTTAAACATGTTTCAACTTGTTACACATATCGCCTCACGTTCAAATGTAGTGATTACAGAGAAAACAATGTTATTATTTTTGAAAGATTTTGATCTCATGCATTTAATACCGATTTTTGTATAATGATTTCCTTTTCTGCTTTTGTGTCCAATTGGATTCCATCCTGAATCAGTGATGAGGGGAATGCATGTGGGTGGGTGGAATGTGTGTGTTTCCAGCATGGAAGAGGAGGATAATCCTTTCCATATTGAGTCAATCACATGATTAGAACCGTAGCTCCTACCCAAATTCTGTAGTTCCCATTGATCGTTCTGTTCATTTCTCTAGATTTTGGGTTGGGCAATTGGTTCATACAGGTTTTCATGTAGGGCTTGAGCAGAATAATAGACAGTGTAAAGAATAAATGGAAGAATAGAAAACCGTGTATGTCCATGTGCAACAGCTACTTCTTTTCAATTAGTGTAGAATCCAGGTTAGAGAATTACTTCTAAAGTATGTGCCTGTATCTGAATAAAATTGATATTGGCCAGGAGGTTTTCTTAAATGTTATCTAGCATTTTTTAGCTGACACTTGAAAATCTTCATATGGTGAAGTTAAAGTTACCTTTTAACATGTGTTATAAGGGAGTTGAAGGAAGATGCTTAGATCCCTGGAACATGGCTGAAGATTTACTTGACCAGCTAATATATCTAAGTTAGGATTTTAAAAAGCCTGATATTCCAGTCTAAACAAACCCAAGACAAACTGTTCTGCTGTGGAAAAAATACTGTCTAGCCCTGTGAATTTTTAGAGTAGCTGAATATTTCTTCTTTTTTAGTTATGGTTTATGGTACATACATGGCAGAGAGAGCTCCCAGACTAATAAAACAGCTTTCCAGCTTATCAGTTTGAAAGGCAAGAATCTGTTTTGGAACCTGTCAAAGCAACAAGGATGTGCAATTTGTTGCTTCTACTATTGTAAGTTCAACTTTAATAAATACAATTAATAGTTATTGGCAGAGCTTAACGTAGCACTGGAAGCCAAGATCTTTCACCACTTCTTTGTTAATGATCTGTTCTTGAGCATCATAAATCTAATCTGCTGATGGCTGCAGTAGTGTATCCAGAAAAACAAAGTTGTTCTATATGGGATGTTCTGTTATCAGAAACATTAGAAAAACGTTGCTCCTTTCGCTGTTTCCTGATGGCTTCTAAGATTTTTCCCCTATGTGCATAGGATCTATACAGTGTTATATACTATGTCAGTGAATGCAGGAGATATCAGAATCATTACTGTTTTAATAATGATGGGTTTAAATATGCTAAATATCTTTATGAAAAGTATAGTAGAGATACTTAGATATTCAGATAGTTAGATACTTGTATGTATACCAGCAATTAAATCATTTTAGGGTTTATTTCACAATGATCCTTGTACCAAAAGATACATATGAATTACGTGCAGTTGATGTATTCGTCAGCAAGTTTTTGTGTAACTCAGCTCCACGTAGCCCTAGCAGTCACTCAAGATAAAAAATGGAAGGCCTCAGATAAGCATCAAAAATAGAGGCATCTCGCCTTTTTTAACGTATTAAGCTCATATTATGTTAGTTCTCTGTTTTCCATAAGAGTAATCATATTAGTTTGTTTATCCAAACAGCAAATTGGATATAATAGTCTCATAAGGCAATGAGGCAATGATATTATCACTTAATTAGCCTTTTATTGTGCTTCTCACTAATGGGGTATGTTCGTGATCCATTTTTTAAAATAAAAACAAATTACTTAATAGGATAAGCATAGGTGCCATGTTTTTACCCTTTTTTGATCGTATCTTTCTTCCAGTCTTCATAAACACAGTCTGAATTTATTCTGACAAAAATATAATGAAAGGATTTTCCCATTGGTGTTTGTGGGAGTTTGTCACAGACTGTACTCAGTTTGTGTGAAAAAGAAAAATCATCCATGAGTTGCATAAAGTCCTGTCTCTAAGGAAGTTAGTTTGTTAACTCAAAAATTGTACTAGGAAATTTAATGAATGTTTCAGGAATTCAGACTTTACTTCTATCTAAGAAACCTGTCTATTTGCTGCAGTTTTGACATCTGTACGTCCTTTACCATATTATGCAATCTTTTCTCCCTCTCTCCCAAGTCTCGGTTATAAAAAAGTATTAACATGGTGGTAAAAGTTGGTTCAACTTTGTGATAATTGTGTATTATGGCACTGCTCAAAAAAATTCAAAGCTCCTTGAAAGTAGTGCAGTTTGGGGATGTTGCCAGATCTCTTAATATCTTTAAGTAGCTTCAGCTTATCATTTTGACAAAAGTAGAACTTTTCTTCATACAAGAAACATTTTTATTTAATTCTTCTACCTGACATTAGACTAGGTTATGCTTTATTAGTCAACAAATACCTGGAATTATGGCTGATTTATTGCTATTGTGTGCTAAGGTTCATTTGTGATGTACGAAATTAAGATACTTTGATTTTCACTGGAGCTTTTTCCATCAGTTCATCACTCCTTGTCTGAAGGCTTAAACCATCTCTACCTGAGGTATTGCTGATAAAAGTCTAGCTAGGTATATCTGCAGATGCAAGGTTATATAACAGGGAAGCAAGTGATTTGTGGATGTGAGCAGAGCAGAAAAGCAAACCACTAAGAGGGAAACACAAAATACATTCCCTCTGTACACCTATTCACCCCTTCAAGAATCCTCTTTTGATACAAAATGTTTGGTTTCCTTAAAAAATGCAAACCAGATTTAGCACTTTTAAGCATGTTTGAGCCTGGGCTAAGAACATTCTTGTATTAAATTGTAAATGTGATTGATTTGTGCTACACCTGAAGAGAGAAAGGCAAAAAAGTCATTGATTCTAACCTAACTGTCTGCAGGAGTCATTGCACGCACCCTTCCAGAATCTCAAGTCACTTGTTTGCAAGGCTTGCAAGGCGAAGAACAGAATAATCCAGAGCAGACGGAGAGGGAATGGAATTATCACAGGTTGGCATCATGGTAATTTTCCTCAGTAAAGCCAGAATATTGATGAGTTCAATTATCCTTTAACAGCAGTAGCGTTTCCCCAGGGAGATTGTCAAGCTGACTTAAATCGTAAGATATTTCTCCAAGAAACCAAAGGAGAGATCTAAAAAATATATATTATTTTTCAGGAATTTTCATGATTTCGACTACCCGAGTTTGGATAAAATATTTTTTTTTTGTCTAGCTACCTTTTTACTGAGATGTGTGCAGTAAATAAAATGCTGTGCACTGACAGATACATTGTTGTTATTTATTTAGTAACTAAAGTTATTCTGTATCAGACTCAGACATATGGATGACTGTTTTTTTTTTTTTTTCCTTTCCCTCAGGGGAGCAGTTTTAGCCATGGTAGTTTAAGGCCTGAGTAAGGCACTGAAGGGAGAGTCTGTGATTCTATGATTCTTTATAAGGATGACTGATACAGTTGAAAATATAGGCAAGATAGAGAAGGTCTTTTTGCTTAAGACTTGCTTATTTTTTCCAACAGTAACAGTTGGTTTTCTGAAGGTCCTAGTCTTCCCACCAGTTCAGCCTGACTTTGAGGGAAAAGACCTCTAAAAGGCTTGCAGCATCGTTCACATATCAGCCTGACATTTGAGGCTTTTGTGGCTTCGGAGTAATTCACATCGAATCTCAGTTCAGAGGCTGTAAATTGGCATCATTTTAATTACAATTAATAGATTTTGAAATGCTATCATTACTGTTTTAAAAAGCTGTTGCTACTTCCTGCCTATTTGTTACTGAACTATAGATAAGAAAATGCGGGTGTAGTTTGCTGGACTTTCTTTATTAAGAAAAACTTAATGATGCTATCAGCTTTTGCTAGTGTTTGCAGAGAAGTGTATGGAAAGGACCACTAACTCCCTTTTTAAACCTGAATGTTGTTTTTATGAGAAGGGAAAGTTTTTGGTAACTTTTAAAGGAAAGACTATAAGGTAGCCTGACCATGGGCCCTTTTATTTGTTTATATTGTTGTATAGTTTAATTCTCTACCATTAGCGAACCTCTGGTTCTGCCTTCGTTAATTACAGATCTGTGCTCAACAGGATCACCTAACACTACAAATTTGATCTGGTTCAGGCGTAAGCAGATGATTACATTATGGGTGAATTAGCTCAATGTCACATGGCAGTGTGTTTGCATGGATTCTATGCTTATTGCCTGCTTAATACTTGATCTGCTATGCAGCCTTCAAGATAAAAATTACCCACTCAGAATTACTTGAGCAAATTACAACGGGCAGAATGATTTTCTGCTTATTCAGTGCTGTGCATCACGTGGCAGCAATACTTTGGATGTGGTACTAGGCCATGCCAAGTCCTAGAAGTACCTAATGGTGATTTATGGTACCAGACCCTGTTAGCATTTGCTTTAGAGCTATACTTAACCTTTTTCATTGTGATTTGTGGCTCAAATTTGGACAAAGATTTCCATTTCTTTTAAATGCTTGTAATCTCCAAATCTGTGTCACAAGATTTCCATTTGGTTTCTAAATACATTTGTTAACAGCTTGTACTTCTGATGAGCACAGATGGAAATGAGCACAAGAACCATACTTATTAAGCAAGCTGTAGTTTGTAGAAGTCATAATTTCACATAAGTATTTTGGCATAAATCTAAGAAATGATGTTTATCAAGGAAGAAAATTCCCGCTCTTTTTCTTCATTTTATCCTATACACGGTCAGAGTCAGTAAATATTCTTTTTCAGGAACACAACAAAGAGAGCTCAATCCCAGGTTCCAGCAAACACACAGGACATCTTTTGTTCCTCCGTATCCTAATCAGATGAGGGGGTTCACATGGAGAGGCCCTCAACCTCAAGGTAAAAAAATAAATAAATAAAAGAACATGCATATACCTTTGGAATTGCTTATATCAGCCCCACAGTAGCTCTGTTTCTTTCTGCAGTTTCCATCTGTATGTATGAGGTTATCCTGTAGCCACGGAACTCAGAAGCAAAACTTGTTTTGTGTCCATTATAGTTGTGTACTGCTGTTAGCAGAAACTTCGATCCCAGCTTACTGCTTAACGCGTTTTAAAAATGTTAGGTAAGGGATTCTAGTGTTAAGTGCTGCCTGTTGACTTGAGAACATTCACTTAGATCAAGAGGAAATACTGCATGGTGGAAAGGCCACTTCATTTTTCACATATTAGGTGTACCTTCCAAAACATTGTTTGCATGTTGTTACAGTGAGTAAGTGTATGCCTTAGATATGTTCCCCAGCTGGCCCATGTTGAGGACTATCATCGTTATCATTCAAAGATTATACATATTTTTAATTGAATTTATTGAATATTTATCCAGTATTTTGTTGAATTTATTGTTTTTAAACAATATTTAAACAGTAATTAGGAAGTAAAATGGTATTTAAAATCTGCTTTCACCACAGTTTGAATTCCCTTCAAATCAAACTAAACTGATTTCAAAATACGTTTGAACACAGGTTAAGTGGTATACTTTTGTTGCTCAGTGTAGATAGGGCTATATAGCCTATTCCTAGGTGAAATTTCAATAATTAGCATTTGATACCACAGATGTTGTTTTGAATCACATTGTTACTTCAGTTCACAAATAACTAAACTGACCACTAAGAACTATAGAAGTTATTTTTGAAAAAGATGTTCTTCTGTAACTCGTTTCATCGAGACTTTTTGTTATCAGATGTATTACTGTGTGTATTTAAACCAATGTACAAAAGAGAGAAAAAAAATGAAAATAAAAAATATCTAAGTCTAACCTTAGCTATGCATTGTCCTACTTTATATAAATTTTTCTCTGATTTGGGCAGTGATTCTCATACTGGCATTGGCAAACCCACCTAAAAGAGCACTGTGTCAGCTGAAGATAAGGGAAGGAGGTGGCAGAGAATTTATGGAACTGCTTATAATGACTGCATTGATGATTAAGATCATAGATATCTTAATATGTTAGAAATAGTAAAAGGTATTGGCAAGGATATGTCATTATTAATATTCCTGTGATAAAGTAGATACCAGGACTGTAAGTACAAGGGACACAAAGAGTAGGGGTGAAGACGTAATGAGTAAGAGCTCTCAGGGAGCTAGAGGTATTTCTGCTAGAAGTCATCTACTGTCAGGATCATAAACAGTGCAATGGGGAAACAGAAAAGTGTTTGACAGCTTTATACTTTGATGTAGGAGCTGTTGTGTTTTGGGGTTGAGAGTATTAAAAATATAATCCATCTAAGAAAATTAAATCTCTACAAAGTATGTGTTTGCTTAACCTTATATTAGGTTCTAAATGGTTTATTTTTCTTTCTCAAATTTACACAGCCTGATTTAGTGACTGTGGTGTATGACTTGTCTGATTCAGTGTCTTAAGCCATCAGTTGGACTAGAATTAAGTGTTAAAATGTCCCAAGTACTTTAAGAAGAGCAACTCCATCACGGACTTCATCCTCCTATGTTTCAAAATAAGAGTCTTAGTTATATACCAATAATCATTTGTCATAAATAAATGAATTTTATCTTGTATGCTATCATGATTAAATTGATATTTTTGTTTTAATGTTAATTGAAAATATCCTATTCCCTCCAGGTAGAGAATATAGATGGGGACATCCAGGGCGGAGGAGAAGATTCGAGCTTCCTCCTCGGTAAAGAACATATCTGTAGATCTAGCAAATTGAGATGATGGAACAGTTACCACTTAGATTATTTTTTTTGTCTCTAACAACCACTTCTCAGAAACATTGCTAACTGAGCCACATATTTAGCTGATTAATCCCTTGTCATTTTAGAAGTATGTTTGATATGAGATCAAAATCACTAAAACTTAAGGGAACCAGATACGGCATAGTATGTATCTACAAGATTATATTGTCCCATTGGTACTGGGAAGTCCAGAGTATCATATCATTATATAATCCTGAGTTTATAATTTTATACATTTTGCACTTGTACAGTACTTGTGGGTTTTTTTAAGAAACTTTGCTTTAGAGGTTATAGCCTCTTTCTTAACGTCTTCTCTTTGCATATGCATTGTTAAAAATAATTAGAGGAAGGTGGCCTAATTGCTGTCTTCAAACAGTAGGTTAGGCAGTTGTTTTGTAAAAGTCCCATTTTAAATTGTGAAGTATATAAATTGCATCCAGAAAAAAAAATCAAGTGTCAACAACACTTAGGTCACCTAGAAGATGGATGACGCACTTAGGACTGTGGTTATCTCCTCAGTGGTCTCTATCTCAACAACCTAATTGTCTCCATTTATATCATCTTCAGCCTTTCCTTCATGATTTTCTTAGCTTTCTAGTAATCTTTGGATTGAGTTGGCTCAAGTGGATGTTTACAAAACTGATGTTTTTTGTCTGTTTATGTGCTTTGGAATTGTCCTATCTTTAGATTTGTACTTTAACATTTTCCCGTACATTAAGTTATATAATAACCCCTTTTCTTTTTACGGGAAGTATGGGATAAAATTAAAAATAAGCATGATGTCTTGTTCCTACACACAAAAAAAGCCCAAGGATAAAAATGAGGGGATATCCAAAGAAAGGGGAAAAATGTTAAGATACAGTTTTTAAGTCTGATAAAGTTTGCAGATTTTCATAAAAACATCTTTAGTTATTGAGAAAAATAATTGTCCCATATATAATAGTTGCACCATAGTCATAACGTTTATTATCTTAGAAAGTCAGCTGTCCTGGGTTATTTTTCTTTTTGTTCTGAATGACACTGTTTAGTATCTTGTCCATATAGTTTTTGCAGTTATCATATTAGATTCGCTTGATGCAACAACTATATCTGGCTTGTGTTTCTTATTGTGTTGCTGATAAATTATTTATTTTTATGAGCATTAGAAAATTAGATCCTTATATGAAAACTACTTCATGACCCTTGTTAACAGAAATAGCAGTTGCTATAGGACTTATGCTTTCATTAAAATAAAAATCTAGAAATTTTTCCCTGTTTAAGGTTTCAAGTATAAGTGTTGCTCTACAGAACTCGCATATAGATCAATAAATCCAATACGCATCATTATGATTGTTGAACTGTCAACATAGCACAGGCCACAGTATCTCACCCTGCATCAGGCTATAACTTCAGTTTAAAGTAGACCCTTCCAGAAAAAGAGTATCTACTCATGATATCAAAACTTCAGGTATTGTAAAATACATCATATTTCTAGCTAATGATTACTGTAAAAGATATTGGTGCATGTCAAGAGTATTACATTTTCTTTGGTTTCATAAGCATTTGAGTATTGTTTTTTTATTTCTAGAATTTTGTGTGATGTTTGTGCATCATATTTGGCTCCTCACAGCTTTTTTTGTGTTTTAGATGGCCCAGATGACTACTCATTACTGAAAGTCAATGAAAATGAATAAGAAAACAAGATAATGAAAATGAATAAGAAAACAAGATATATTTTTATGAAGTGCTGTATGCTGAAGATCGTAAAAACTTCATCAGTATTTTAAGAACAGTTCTGGGAAGACTCCTCAGAAACTTATAATGACTCTGTTTTTAATTAGATTTTAGTTTGTGTCCTTTTTGTTTCTATTCTATTGCTTACAGAAATAAATGTATGGAATTTTATGAAATAGTTACTGATTAGTTAAAGTTCTGGATATGTTTGTTTTGAGCCCTTTACAAAAGAACTTGTTGACACAATTAGGAAAATCAATTATAAAATAAATACGATCAAAATTAAGAGAGAAATTGTGTGTGTCAAAGAAAACTACAGAAATTCGATTAAGTCATGTGGTTCTATTACTGAAAGTTGGTTAAAAAAAAAAAAAAAGAACCTTCTGGTAAACCTAAAGGTCATCCTGTGCTGTGAGAGGGTGTATATCCATCTGTCCTGTACATGTAATGATACTTTTCTATTACATTGTACAGTTTGCATTAAGTGTTCACATTCCTTCAGGGTCAAAAAAAAAAAATGTCCTCAGGTTTACTATTTCCCCCATTATAAGCCTCAGAAAATGATAAAAGTGTAGCTAAAACATTCAGTAAATTTTCAGATTTTTTTTGTTTTATTGACAAAACTGCTACGGTTGTAATGTTCAATAGGTTAGGGGCCATTCACATTCAAAGCTGAATCAAATCCTTTTTCAGAACGTCTAGAATTGCCCTCCATATGACATTTCCTAAACATTTAATATATATGTCAGACCTTAAATGTGTCTTTAGCCTCAAACTAAAGGCTTTGACATGAGCCTCTAACCAGTATAATTTTGGATGAAATTGTAAATCAAGAGGAAACTAGGAGGCATTTTGATAGCGTTTTTTTTAATGGCAGTTATTTGAAGCACAAGGGTGATTTCTTTTATTTCCTCTCTCCATTGACATCAATGGTGAATCATTCGTAAATGTTAGTAGGATTATGATTTCACTCTATACTTGTAAGATAGTCTTAAAGATAGAAGTAAATGCACAGTGTACGGGTAAGGTAGTAACATATTTCCTGCATTAATTTTCACTATTGTATTACTCATCACACAGTCTTAATTTGGAGATATGTGTATTTTTAGAATAGCACATGTTTACAGTCAAAAGTAAATCTGTTTTTAGAAGTGATTAGCATGAATACATGTTATTTTTATGCCCCACAGGGAAAGTTTAGATCTAATTTTGAAATTTATTTTCAAAAGGAATACTATAGCTACTGTACAACTTAAATTGATCCTGCTGGTAAAGTCATTTAAATTTTGTTGGGATTAGTCCATTCATGTTTAGTTAATTTTGTTTCTTGAATGTTATGCAGATAACTCTTAAGTCAATTGACAATAGATCTTTTTCTATTTAGTTTATATGTTATATCAATGTGAATAGTGTTGTTGAACATTGAACATTTGTATTATCGTACATACTACATGATACTCTAATTTCTTAATATGTATTATTTTGTCTATGACCCAATAAATATATTCTATCCTACTCTGCATATAGCAGTAATTCAGCTAATCACATAAACTGGCAAGAACACAGCATTTCTGATTCCATTAAAAATCAAATAGACAAAACTATTACAGAACACAGTATCTGATTTGCATTCTAGGGATCGGCTCATGATAGGGACACTCCTGCTTCCTTTTTCCAGTGATTTGTCACTGACTGTGGCTGTACAAACTTTTTTTTTCAAGCCCTTTTGGAATAATGTGATCTGAGTTTTATGAAAGTTCTCTAGTTTCAGGAATCTTATTATATGTAATAGTGCATTTTAAAAGTATGTAGTTTTGTGCCAAGATCTGTTGGTCATTCCCAGTTTGGGTTCTGATATGGGGAAAGATTTCTGTTGACCTGAACAACCAAAATTCAATACAGTTAGAGTAGGAGTTTTGCTATGGTAGTTGTGGTATGTTGTGAATTATTGGTAATAATTATGCTAGATCATAAGCAGAAGCTGCTATTACTGTTATTTCCAAGCCAAAGCGTTTTTTTTTTTGTTTGTTTGTTTCCTGACAGGAATCAGAGAGTGAACACAGAAGTATGAAACTGAAACATGGAGGTGCTATTTTCCTGTCCTGTTGGACTTTTAAGTTAGTCAAAGTTAGTCAACTAAACTTACAGACTCTAGAAGTAAGTTGCATATAAGAAAATGACCTTGAATATTGCAGTCTTGTATGGATTCTAAATATCCCTGTAGCCCACAAATTAAGGAAATCCTATTAGAGAGGAGGAAAAAGAGACACATGGATTTGACATGAACGATCCTAATTTTGTGAGGGGAAAAATGCAAGGAAAACATTCATATTCCTGCTTGTCTTTACAGCTGACTGTCTCCTTTAGACACAGCAAATTGTGCTGTTATTTATCAGCTGCTTTTCAGGAAAGGGGTTAATGAACTTTCATTAACATCAATAATTTAATCAACTGTGTCTTTAACAGAAATAGTGACTGGATCATTAGGAGTGAAACCCATGGGAAGACATTTGTTGGTGCTCCCTTTTTACCTTCAGGTATGATTCATATCGTACATTACTTTGCTCAATTGTGATACCATCATTCTGGACATCTGAGGGCAGCAGAAGATGTTGAGTTAATATTATGATGCTTGTGACAGTGTACACAGCAAAAGGTGTGAATTATGTATGTTTTAGAAAATGGAGAATTACAGTTTCAATTGCTTTGTTACATTAACAAGGGCTGCCCTCAGGCAGAAGGGAACTGCAGTGCTAAAGCAAATTGTTATATACCGTGTTTTCTGGGCAAAGCTTTAAGGATAAGCAAATATGCTGTAATTTTGCAGAGGCAGCCTTTAATTAAATGTTGGGGAATCACATCAAAAGTTTAGTTGTTCATATTTAAATATTGAGTCCCTTCTTCTCATTTAAGGTAGGAGGCAGGCTGGAATACCTTGCTTGCTTGGGAGGAGAGAGCGCAGATGCTGTTGTATTACAGAGAGCTACGTTCATTCTGAGGAAACATCTTTTGGTGATATAAGAGTATGATCAGCTTAGCAAATAAGAGAAAAGCTTGCCTTGTTTGACCACATAGGCATATCACAATGCCTGTGAGAAAATAGGGATGCTGTGACAATACGCGAGAGTCTGGTGTGGCCGCCCTCTTAGATAAGTGCTGGTGGTCTGGGGTCTGCTCCCGAATGTAGGTCAGTGAGAGTGGCTGAGACTGCGTGGGGCAGGCTGGGTGCTGGTAGCTGTGCAAGCTGCAGTGCGTCCCGGAGCTCCAGGTGCAGAGGGGCCGAGCGCCACGTGGGTGGCTGCGGAGCGAGAGTGTCGCTGGGGGCTGGCCCCGGCCGCCGGGGGCTGGCAGCCTGCAGCTGGGTGACCTTGTTTCCAGCTGGTGTGTAAGAATTAGCTGTGCGAGAGAGCTGTGGAGCCTCGCAGGAGGCCGCTGTGCTCAGGAGTTTCATACAAGCCCAAGTCCTTGCCTGTGGTCCTTTCCCGAGCTGTGCAGATATGCCTGGGTCCAGCCTCACGCTTTGCTGATCCTGCCTGTGCTTTGCTGTCCTTACTTCCTCTCTTAACCTTGGATGTGTCTCATCACTATGGACTTCTCAGGAGGTCACTGGGTTGTTGTCTGAGCCTGGTTGCCCTCRCAAGCCCTGCTCTGCCCTTGTTCAGGTGCTGTGGGGCAGCACGAGGGTCAGCRAGGCCACTGCCACGCTTGCAGTGTCACCCCCAGCTCCTGGCTTGCCTTCCCTTGCGGTGCAGCCCAGCCTTGCTGCTCCCTGACACTGGAGCCTAAGGTCCAGGCAGCACAGTCGGGGGGGTTGGCTCTATGTGCAATAGTAAATATGAACAGCGTAAATGCAAATGTGGCTTGTGGGACTAGTTGCTGATTTGAGAACAAAAAAAAAAAAAAAAAAAAAAATGGCCAAGGCTCCATGAAATCCACTAGTGACTTTGCACTTCCAAACAGAAATGAGAGGGGAGCTACATAGCTGATGCACAGGAGCACACAGTATTAAAAAGAAGGCCTGTGCATCCCAAACAAAAGTTCTGTCTGTTGACAACAATTCAGAAAACATCTGAAATGTGCTGAACTTCTATCRTGGCTACAGTATGACTCCCTGCATATCCAGGCTGATTTTGCAACTCAGTGTGATTCCCCAAGTCTAGTCGGTTACTTTGGTTTATGCATTAGGTGAAGTTTACATTTTGAARTGTTTCCTGAAATAAGTCATTCATAATTGCTGAATTCATCAGCCTGTTATTCTAAGGACAGACCTCTTTTACTCCTTTGCATCCGTGTGTATTACATTAATTCCTGGCAGCAAATACTGCTACAAGAAGCTTTTGCTCTAAGCAAGTTAAAAAATAGCATCAAAGAAAAAAAATATGAAGTGCTAATAGAAGCCAGCTTCTGTGTCCTAACACTTACTTGTTGTGAATAGGAAAGAAATCCTGAATTTGTGTTTATGTGTTTATTTACACTCACATTTTGTTGCTTGATCTGCCTTCTCCCTCCCTGTCTCCCTCCCTGTTGAACAGCACCTGTATTGTATTGGCCCAAGTGAGCGAGGCTGATGGTTTAGAAATTAGGATCTGAAAGGAAAAAATGAAGATCACCTTCTGAAAAATAACGATCRCCTTCTGATGCTTGTGCTGCACAAGTGCAGCGACCGAGGGCAGTTAATATCCCCAGCAGTGCTCACTGGAGCCAGGCTGGAGCGCCTCGCTGGGAGGACGCGTGTCCAGGCTGCGGCAGGCCAAGACGCGCCTGCCCTTCCACGTGCTGAGTGTGGGGCTGTCATTAGGGAGGGAAGCGTTTCAGCACGACATGGAAGCACTGCTGGGTATGTGAGGGTGGAGGGTTTGAAGCACTTCGGCAAGAGGCTTCGGCTTTTCCCATGCTGATGTTTTCTCACTTGTTTTTTCTCTCTGGTCTATTCTGGTTTTAAGCTGGGTACACTGGGCAAGGAGATAAGGCAGTTTGTGTGTAACTTTACAAAAGACAATTCAGAGCCTGGGAGGCCAGAACTGCTTGAAAAAATAGAACTTAAGGGCTATGTTTTCCCTTGGACAGTTTGCACAACTGACTTACTTCACATTAACTGCTTCCTTTGGATTTGTTAGCCYGATGGTGCTGGGAATTAGCCCAGCCCTTCTGACTTCTCATCGGTTTCCTGGCTGCTGGAACACAAACTTGCATGACAGATTGCGTCCAGCACAGTAGCAGTTAATGGGAAATAGGCTGCTTTGATGTTCGCTTCTGGTGGGCTCTTCCTCTGGTGTAAAGGCTTGACACCTATTGTCTTCTGTAGGAGTTGGCTTTGCGGAAAGCTTTTGCAAAATCTGTAGGTTTCCAAGTTTGTTTTCTGAGACTGTGGTTTGCTTAATTTCTACATTCACTAGCCAAGAAATATTTTCAAGAGTGATTTGTGATTTTTYGAGTCTCTGACTTCAGATGTCTCAAACAGGGCCTTATTTCCCAGAAACTGCTGAGTGTCTGTCCTCTTTTGCTAAAGCAGATGCCCTTGAAGTTTTTGTATTAGAGTGAGGGAAATGAAGGCACCTAAAACATTGCCTCCTTTCCTGAAAAAAAAATGGGTTTAGCACTGCAGAGATGCACCTTACAAAGCAGCCTTGGTTAAAATAAAAATACAGGGCTYGGGGGGAAGGGAGAGCAGAGCGAGAGCAAATACAGTAACAGCCTATGATTAGAAATCTTAACAATGACAGTGAGTTGAGTTTAATTTCTATCTGCTTAAAAGCAGGCCTGGGGAAATGCTGTGCTTAGAAATGCCCTGGAAAGCGCAGCTGGTGCATGCGCTTTATCTTGAAAAGCAAGGGATCTTTCCCATTTTGCAGTAACACTGCCATTTACTGGGCCATACCACTAGCAATTTGCAACAATGGGAGGGGAAAAAAAAGCTGCCATTTGACCTAGAATGCAATTTTCAACTAATTAATAAAGTGACCATTAGTGCCCGAGGGGATAATAACAGGAATAAGAACAAATTACTGTGGGGTGCAAAGGAGGCTTGGGCATTGTATTGCAAATTTCTTATGGCACTATTCTTTTTTTTTTTTTTTTTTTTT